TGTAATTTTGGAGAGTATGCGCTACATTCTTAATGTGTAAAAAAGCTGGTTGAATCCTTACTTTAGCAGTAAACCTAAACTCAGAGTCAACTAGTCTCAACTTCCTGCTATTAATTTTTTCTTATGTGAGCCATATCAAGCTAGATACATTCTCATGTAACAAGGCAAAAACATTCCACTTTATTTTTTCCCATTTCCTTCAAATAAAATGAAGATGCATGCAAATGACAGTAACTATTTGCGGCAGTTCAAAATGGGAGAAACACCATATGTAAATACCCAAAGTTACCCATGTTCAAACGATTTATCAGTAATAGTCCCAGGGAAAAAAAGTATGCGCAAAGCAACAAATGTCTTCTTCAAGATGGATACAAGTTAACAGGCGTTGGTGTTTATTCGACATCAGAAGTGCTAAACAAAAAAGAAACACGCCCCTTTATAAAATCCTAATTACTTTCTCTTGAAAACGTCTCAGAGTTAACAAGATTATAAAGGATGGAATTTTCAAATATTAATGCACTTAGGTTTTTCATTTATATGAAGCTAATAGCATTGAGACCGCTCATCAGCTTGCAGACACCCATACTCAAGACATAGTGCTTTAGCAATTTCACATATTTAAACACTTTAAAATGCTGGTCACATTTTCCCCTGAAAATTAACATTTGAATGTATCTGACCAAAGACAAAAGAGATTTTAAATGTTTTATTCTTGTATTAATATTTAAAAACATAGAAGAATTTTCACTAAAAAAATTAGCTCAAATTATTGAACAATTTCTTCCTAAAAGTAGTAAACTGTCAAAGAACTGTAGAGGTAGAGAATAAACTTTTTTTAAAATGTAAATTATTTCTGCGCTCAATCCTCCTCAGTCTGAATAGCAGAAGCATTCAAAACAGATCTTTGAGTCTAGGTCAGTATTGCTTTTGTCTTTGATGACCTCCTGAGGCCCCTTCCAACCCTGATATTCTATGATTCTATGAAAATCATGAGTGATGTGGAGAAAGTGAATAAGGAAAAGTTATTTACTTGGTCCCATAATATAAGAACTAGGGGCCATCAAATGAAATTAATTGGCAGCAGGTTTAAAACAAATAAAAGGAAGTTCTTCTTCACACAGCGCACAGTCAACTTGTGGAACTCCTTGCCTGAGGAGGTTGTGAAGGCTAGAACTATAACAGGGTTTAAAAGAGAACTGGATAAATTCATGGAGGTTAAGTCCATTAATGGCTATTAACCAGGATGGGTAAGGAATGGTGTCTCTAGCCTCTGTTTGTCAGAGGGTGGTGATGGATGGCAGGAGAGAGATCACTTGATCATTACCTGTTAGGTTCACTCCCTCTGGGGCACCTGGCATTGGCCACTGTCGGTAGACAGGATACTGGGCTGGATGGACCTTTGGTCTGACCCAGGAAAGCCAGTCTTATGTTCTTAAGTCCCAAGTCAGAGAAAACGGGCTCAGAGGTAGTCTCAGCACATCAGGTGACAGCCCAAAGGGGGTTTCTGTGACCGAACCCATCACACCCCACTCCAGGTGTTAAAAAGCTCCTCTGGGCACAATCAGCCCCAACCCATTGCAACTGTGAAGCCTGTCAAGTCTGGAGAGGGTGGGTCCTTAAAAAGGTGGATCCCTGCTCAGTTTGGGGCAGCACTCTGAGGGTATGTCTACACTGCAATTAGACACCTACAGCTGACCCATGCTAGCTGACTCTCACTTGCAGGGCTTGGGCTGCGGGCTGTTTAATTGCAGTGTAGACATTCCAGCTCAGGCTGCAGCCCAAACTTTGGGACCTTCCAACCTCACAGGGTCCTAGAACCTTGGCTCCAGTGCCAGCCCAGACATCTACACCACAGTTAAACAGCCCTGAAGCCCGAGCCCCATGAACCCGAGTCAGTTGGCATGGGCCAGTCGTGGGTTTTTAATTGCCGTGTAGACATATCCTGAAGAAATAGGGCTGTAACTCGGAGCTCCCTAGCCCTCAGAAGAAGGGGTTTCTGGCTGGGGAAACACTTGAGAGCCTTGACCACCCAGGCTGACTCAGAAAGGAAAGGAGCCAGTTCTTCTCTCTTTGGCTTTCTGAAGGCCCTAGATTCTGCCTTTTGTGGGCTGCAGATGCCTCCTGACTTCTTCATTTGGACTTCTTTACTCCCACCTCCCAGCCACCAAATGACCTGCACCACACAGCCAGAGGCTTGTGCTCCAGACTCCAAGACAAGAGTGGTGCTGCCCACACTCTCCTTCCCAGGAGTGCTAGAGAGCTATAACTTACTATGGTAACTAATGCTGCTTAGCTATCAAATGAAAAATAAAAACAAAACATACATTGTTTTGCCCATTTTAACAAATTGGTTATGAACTTAGAAAAAAAAAAAAAAAAGACCGCTCTTGTGCCTCTATGTTTTGGAGCAGGGACTTGAAATTTGGCAAGAGGAAGGTTGCTCAGGTATCAGGAATATAAGTTCTGCTGTTCTCGAGGGGAAAAAAAACCCAAATCTGGCCAAGTCATAAGCTTTTGAAAAATCTCAGTTAACACAAGCTCAGTAGAAACTTGTTCAAGTTTGGCAGCTAAGTTTTCCAAAGATTCTGTCTCCACTGAGCATGCTCCAGCCTCTCAGCTGACCAGACTCTGTATGTGCCATCCCCACAAAGTACCTGAGCACATTCCATCTCAGGGAAGCAGGGGTGGAGCAAGACCTTCCTTTCAGTTGCTGCTCTGGGCCCACTGTGATGCCAGGCACCAAAATTAAGAGCAGGGAGACTCTCTCGCCTGTGGCCTTAATACGCCCTTTTCTGGAAGCCAGACAGTGAGGAGGAGGAACCAGCCTGACTTAGGGTACATCTACACTGCAGCTTGGAGTGTGCATCCCAGCACAGTACATAGACAAGCACTAGCTCTGCTTGAGCTAGTATGCTAAAAATAGCAGCTTAGGGAGGGTAGCACAGGCAATGGCTCAGGCTAGCTTCCCGAGTATACTCCCAGGGAGTCAGGGCAGGTTTGTACTCAAGTGGCTAGCCTGAGCTGCTGCCTGTGCTACCACCGGCTACACCGTTTCTACCATGCTAGTTTGAGAAGAGCTAGTGCATGTCTGGTTGTCCATGCTGGGAAGCACATTTCCAGCTGCAGTGTAGACATACCCTTGGACTGTACAGGGGAACATGGGAAAGAGGGTGTTGCAGGAACCAGAAGGTGGAGAGAAGCAGAAGAAGAGAGGTATGGATAGAAGCAAAGGGAGGGGAGGTTTGGGAGGGGGTAATAGGGGCAGAGGGGTCAGGAGCTGGGGACATGTGGGAAGAAGGTAGCAATGGAGAAAGAAGGAAGAGGGCACCAAGCACACACTTCTCCAATGCCTGGGATTGAACATGGAAATCTGGAATCCACGTTATCTCTGCTGTGAAACCCACTGGCAAAGTATGTGTGTCATCCCCATTTAGTGCCACATAGAGGATAGTATCCTATGGTTACTACTTACTGTTAGCAGTCTGTGCTGGTAATCTAAAGGCTCAAACCCTCCTGATGGCCCAACCTGAGGCGGGAGGGGTCAATACAGTTCCATATGACAGAATTAGGTGGGTGGATGGGGGGGGGCGGCTTTTTTTTTTTTTGAAGACTTAGGAAGTTTCATAAGAACCTCTATGTTAAAAGAATGTAAAGGTTGAAAAGTCAAGCACACAATTTTCTTAACCCTCTATCCCTGCTCCGTTTCAGAGCCACTCAAGAGTTCCTATGTGATGCTAAGCACCCAATTTTTTACAAACACATTAACTCATTTAATACTACAACTCAGATAGTGCTCGTAGCCACATATTACCATCTTTGCTTACCAAAAGCACACTATAAGAGAGCCTTCCAAGTATTCTAAATTAGAGATCTGTAGCTCCCATTTTCTTTCCCATTTCCACATGTAGAAAATTATCTTGGGTGTGTGTGTGTGTGTGTGTGTGTAGAACTTGCTGAGAGAAAGCTACATAGATTTAAATGAGTTCTGTATTTAGTTCTGAAAGTAATCAGTTTCACATTCATTCTTCCCTGTTTAATAATTTCATCATTTCAGTGGAACATATCAATCAGGGAACTCAGATAGCTAGGGCCAGTCTCAGAAGGCTTTGAGTATCAGGACACAAACCTGGAACTGAACTCTATATTCAATGGGGAGCCTATGCAGAAAGCAGAGCATTTATGCAATGTGTACACACTGACATGAGCTGCTATCTCTTCTTAGTAACAGGTCATCCTGAGTTTTGAATATTTTAATAATATGTTCAGTATATATTTTATATGGTATTCATCTACATAAAGGACACCACTATGGGGCTATGTACATGCAATGAAAGGATGCATTAATCCTAAGGCTAGTGGAGAACTCTGGCAATGTAATTTGTAAGGTTCTTGAAATGTAGCTAACAGATTCTACAAGAACAGAATAGTAGATGCATTCTGCATCACTCAAGTACTGTACTAGACTGTGCTATTGAAGGAACCTAAGACTTAATCTGAAACTTGATTATTCCATATGTAAATAAAGGCCTGTTAATGGGATTCTTTTACAGTGGCTGAGGTTTTTAAATCTCTAGGATTGTACATTGTTAACATTGCTTCTGATGCTTAACTCTTTGTATGCAGGTGAATCTCACACAACTGAATGGCTACCTAAGTGCTTGTGGAGAGTGGACAGTTTGCACTGCCTCCTCAGCTCTTCAGTCAGTGACAGCCTGAGAGAGTTTGGGCAGGGAATTGAATTGAGACTTCACTTTTATACCAACCTGTCCATCCAAATCATCACTGTGGAACCTCAGTTTTTTAGAATCAGCTCTCCTCTAATCACAAGGCTGGGATGGGTGGGGAAGAAACAGTGAATAAACTCTGGGAAACCTACATTTAAAATATACTCAAGGAATAGAAAACACTGTAGCTCTATTATACACTTCTGTATTTGACCAGTTATAACTTGTTATTATTTCTTATGAAACTAACAAAATATGACAACATAAAAAACTTACTTTTCTAAAACTCTGGTGGCTGTCACTGGATTCTTCCACTTCCCTCCCACTACAGCTACCTGTTATAAAAACAGGAAGTCATAATTAAACAAAAACTTCAATAGCTGAAAATTTAACTCCCTAGCACCTGCAACTTGATAGAGCAAGGGAGAACTCCCTTTCTTGCTGTCACAAAACAAAAATGAAAATTGTTGCATTCAGGATAGCAAAGCTTAAGGTTATATTCTGTATTCCATCATAACCCCCTCATAACTTGCTCTGATGCAGGTTTCCACGTCAGGAATTTGCTTCCATGGGAATTGTATTTAAAGCAAAACGTTGGCCAGTTGCTTTCACCAGGCATTACACAGATGGTAAGCTATGAAATCCAGGGCACTTAGCTGACTGGTCAGTTCTTTACATTTTCTGGTTTTAAGTTAAACTGTGGAAGATTGGGTATATTACTCCAGTACTTTTTATTGGGAAATCTTAATGACTTGAAGCCACACAATAACAACTTTATTGGGAAAGCTTAATAACTTGACTTTAACGGCACTGATACCACAGTAATGGGTGCCTTTAAAATGCATGTAATCAATAAAGTAGTAATTTCTCAAATTTTTCTTGAAGATTGAAACTTTCCATGCTTGATTTTAAACCAGAAGAAAAGGTTCCTTGATTTTAGACCAGAAGAACAATATACCAAAATTAAAAGTAAAATTCCTAATGAGCTCTCAGTTAGTCACATAGGGACTATCACCCCTTATTCCTTCATACTGAAGCCTCAAGTATGTAATGCCTAATCATATTGACCGCTGAGGGGCTGCAATAGCGACATTTAGTTTGCTGTTCAGTCCCTCTTAAGTCTTTCAGCAGTACTGATTTCCAGGTTTCTCATAAAATGACTGTTATTTCTACCACCATCACCCCAAAACTCTCATACTGCTTGCATATTTCCAGTCTAAATATCCAGCTTAAAGCTTCTTCCCCATATTTCTAACTTCTCAAGGCCGCTCTCTGTTACCTCTGTCCTCTCAAGTTCTTAGCGTCGGCAACTTTCGGTAGCATGCTGCTATCCTCTCTTTCCAGATCATTATTGAAGATATTAAAATTAGCGAAGCCAAACACTAAGATAACTACCAGCTCTAACATGTTTGGGTTTAAAACAAAGTTGTATTAGACTATTTTACAGTTAATACGTTTTATTTTGGTAAACAGGTTTGAATCCATTCCCTACTCTGCTTCCCGTTTGCCAATTGAATCAAATAATCCAGCACTATGGAAGGTCCTGAAAATGCCTGAATCTCACATACTATGTCAGTGGTCATTGCTATTTATAAAATTAGAGGACATAAGCATCCCACAAACAGGCATCCATACAGACAATATTTGGAGTGCGGTTCTCTAACAAGGGTCAGCTGTATAGAAGGAAAAGTAGAAAAGTTTTCTTTTTAAAGAAATATGTATTTCTGCTCAGTAGAATATATCTTCTCTTAAAACACTGTGAATGAAGTTTCAGTGATGCCACCAATAAAGTGCAGAGCCTGCTGTTACTCTACTTAACACTGGCAACAAAATAAAAAAATCGGGACTCCAACCATTAGAGGATTTATTAGAAAATCATGAAAAAATTGTGTAAATTAGCTGTCTTAGGCCTTGTCTACACTACACAATTTTGTCAACAAATGTAAAGTTTAATCTACAAAAACACGGAGGTGTACACACACACTGCAATGCTCCTTCTGCCAACAAAACACTTTTGTTTTGCTGACAAAATAAAATCACCGACAAGAAGTGTTGAGCTTTTTGCAGCAAAGTTATATCGACAAAGTGTCAGTGTAGACACCGCACTTGGTTATGTCACTATAAGTGGCTTACAGGAGATGTCCCACCATGCATATCCCGACCGCTCTGATCGGCAGTTCGAACTCAGAACACAGGCATCCACCCTCCCCCTTTAAAGGCCCACGGGAAATTCCAATTCCTGTTTGCTCGGTGTGGATGGCTCACATTGCATCTTCCCAGCTGACAATGGTGGCTTCACACAGCAAACCCTCTTCCACTTGGAGCACACCTGAGTTGTTGAATCTCCTGACACTGGGAGGAGAGGTAGCAGCACAGTCCCAGCTCTGCTCCAGCTGTAGGAACTCTGATACCTACAGGCAGATTTTTTGTGGCTTGTTGGATAAAGGCTATGAATGGGACACGTATCTGGACGACTGGAAAAAGGCAAATAAAGTGTCCATCTTTAAAAAATGGAAGAAGGAGAATCCAGGGAACTATAGACCAGTCAGCCTCACCTTTGTCTCTGGAAAAATAATGGAGCAGGTGCTCAATGAATCAATTTTGAGGCACTCAGAGGATAGAAAGGTGATCAGGAACAGTTAGCATGGATTCACCAAGGGCAAGTCATGCCTGACCAACCTGATTGCCTTCTATGATGAGATAACTGGCTCTGTGAATATGGGGAAAGCAGTGGACGTGATATACCTTGACTTTAGCAAAGCTTTTGATACAGTCTCCCACAGTATTCTTGCCAGCAAGTTAAAGAAATATGGATTGGATGAATGGACTATAAGGTGGATAAAAAGCTGGCTAGATTGTCGGGCTCAACGGGTAGTGATCAACGGCTCGATGTCTAGTTGGCAGCCGATATCAAGCAGAGTGCCCCAGGGGTCAGTCCTGGGACCGGTTTTGGTCAACATCTTCATTAATGATCTGGATGATAGGATGGATTGCACCCTCAGCAAGTTCACAGATGACACTAAGCTGGGGGGAAAGGTAGATATGCTGGAGGGTAGGGATAGGATCCAGAGTGTCCTAGAAAAATTGGAGGATTGTGCCAAAAGAAATCTGATGAGGTTCAACAAGGACAAGTGCAGAGTCTTGCACTTAGGATGGAAGAATCCCATGCACTTCTACAGGCTGGGGACCGACTGGCTAAGTGGCAGTTCTTCAGAAAAGGACCTAGGGATTACAGTGGACAAGAAGCTGGATATGAGTCAACATTGTGCCCTTGTTGCCAAGAAGGCTAACAGCATATTGGGCTGCCTTAGTAGGAGCATTGCCAGCAGATCGAGGGAAGTGATTATTCCCCTCTATTCGGCACTGGTGAGGCTACATCTGCAGTACTGTGTCCAGTTTTGGGGCCCCCCACTACAGAAAGGATGTGGACAAATTGGAGAGAGTCCAGTGGAGGGCAATGAAAATGATTAGGGGGCTGGGGCACATGACTTATGAGGAGAGGCTGAGGGAACTGGGCTTATTTAGTCTGCAGAAGAGAAGAATGAGGGGGGATTTGATAGCAGCCTTCAACTACCTGAAGGGGGGTTCCAAAAAGGATGGCACTAGGCTGTTCTCAGAGGTTGCAGATGACATAACAAGGAGCAATGGTCTCAAGTTGCAGTGGGGGAGGTCTAGGTTGAATATTAGGAAAAACTATTTCACTAGGAGGGTGATGAAGCACTGGAATGGGTTACACAGGGAGGTGGTGGAATCTCTATCTTTTGAGGTTTTAAAGGCCCAGCTTGACAAAGCCCTGGCTGGGATGATTTAGTTGGGGTTGGACTAGGTGACCTCCTGAGGTATCTTCCAACCCTAATCTTCTATGATTCTATGATCAATGCTGTGCAAAGATATAGGAGCTAAGGCAGGCATATCAGAAGGTAAGGGAGGCAAAACATCGCTCTGGTGCTATGCTGAAGACCTGCTGCTCCTATAAGGAGCTGGATGCCATCTTTGGTGATGACCCTACTCCATCACCAAGAGCCTTGTGGATACTTCAGTGGGGCTGGAGGCAGTGGACAGTGGACTCAATCCAGAGGATGAAGTCGTGGAGGAGAAGGTCAAGTTGGAGGACAATGTGGAGCACACAGCAGGGCCATCTGGTGGCATGGCAAGTCAAGACCTCTTTTCTACTCCAGAGGGGTCTAGCCAGTCCCAGCAGTCAATTTCTTGGCACGCATGATGCAGGAGAGGAGAGCCCTGGTAAGTGATCTTTTTGAGTAGATGCTGCTCAGTTATATGAGGTAGAACTGTCCTTTGCTCTGTATATTCTAGAAGTGGATGAAGGGATAGAAATTTACAAGACTTCACAGTCCCTTGTGCAGCTAAGCAGTGTGGCAGAACAGCGTGTTAATGTTCACTAAGATTTCACGGGAATACTCCAGAGAGATCTCTAGGAAACTTTCCTGCAGGTACTCCCAATCCTGTGCTGAAGGTTCCTTGGCAGAACCGCTTTGTTCCTTCCCTCATTGTAGGAAGCTTTCCCACGCCAATCAGCAGTCACTTGTGCAGGGATTAAAGCAGCACACAGGTGAGCAGCACATGGTCTGAAGCCGCACAAGTGCAGGAGATGCACACTTGCTTACCGTCACAAGTGAGATATCGGCTTCGATGACCCCTGCCTGTGGAAAATGGTGGTAGATTTTTACAATACTGTCCCTAATGGCCTGCAGTGATCCCCTTACCCTTTGCCTCATCTTGAACCCTCAAACCTCCACCCTACCTCCCTGGGCCAAACTCACCATGTTTAGGAGGTTTGCCGAGACGTGTGCTTGTCAAGCGACAGAGAGAAAGTGATTCGTATGTAAAAAGAGGTGTATTTTACTATAATGATTCAATGCTGTGTGTGAACTAACAATCATGCTTCTGTGTAGTTTCTTGTGCTTCTGCAGATGCGGCCTTCAGGGGAACCCCCTACACACCGGTGGAGTGTCTTTGCCAAATAAGGAAGCAATCAAGGTGGAGCAAGGAGGACATGTTCTGAGAGGTGCTCCAATCCTCAGAGGCTGAAAAAAAGAGAATGCAGGGAGCGGAGAGAGACCTTGAAAGGCAAATTTAAAATAGAATGGCAGGACAGAAAGGAGAGTGAGGAGCACACTGTAAAAGGGCCAGGAGCAGATAAGTGATGGAGGAGCAAACAGAGATGCTGAAGTCCCTAATCACGCTCCAGGCAGAACACATGCGAGCCCACTCCCTCCTTCCCCCAGCAGTCAGACAATCCACTTCCATGCTCCACCCCAGGGGAAACTTTTCACCCTTAGCCTCAAAAATATTATGAAGTGTGCAGAGGCTGCTATGACCACAGGAATATTTCCCTCATTTAGGTCTAACCTGCCATAAAGGCAGCACCAACACACTTTTAAACTGCAAAAGACACATTCTACGGTCATTCTGCACCTGCTCAGCCTATTGTTGAAGCACTCCTTGCTGCTGTCCCGGTTTCCCATGTAAGGCTTCATGAGCCATGGGATTAAGAGGTATGCTGGGTCTCCCAGGATCACTGTGGGCATTTCAACATCCCCCACTGGAATCTTCTGGTCTGGAAAGAAAGTCCCTGGTTTGGAGCTTTCCATACAGGCCGGTGTTCCTGAAAATGCATACGTCATGCATCTTCCTGGACCACCCTACACTGATGTCAGTGAAACGCCTGCAGTGATCCACAAGTGCCTGCAATACCATAGAGAAGTACCCCTTTCTATTGATGTACCCCATCCCAAGATGGTCCGGGGCCAAAATTGTAATATGCATGCCACCTATCGCCCTGCGGCAGTCAGAGAATCCCATTGCCACAAAGCCATCCAATATTTCACGCACATGTCCACGAGTCACGGTCCTTTGTAGCAGGATGCAATCAATGGCCCTGCGCACTTGAATTACTGCAGTCCCAATGGTCGACTTCCTGACTCCAAACTGATTTGCGACCGAGTGTTAGCAGTCTAGAGTCTTCCACAAAGCGATCACCACCCGCTTCTCCACTGAGGGCAGCTCTCATTTTGGTGTCCTTGGATCACAGTGCTGGCGCAAGCTCTGCACAGTTCCTAGAAGGTGACTTTCTGCATCCTAAAGTTCTGCAGCCACTGCTTGTCATCCCAGACCTGCATAACAATGCAATCCCACCACTCAGTGCTTGTTTCCTGAGCCCAAAAGCGACAGTCCATCATGTTCGGCTACTCCGTGAAGGCCAAAAGTAATCTGGTCTTGTTTCTTTCTATGGCACATAGAAGGTCAGGAAACTCTGATTCCTGTTCAGATTTGGAGCTCATGATATACTGCATGACCACCCACTTTGTGTTCATAACACTGAACACAATATTAGAAAGCAATGTGTGATCCATCCTTTCAGACAGAGATGGCAGGCGCACAGTAAACAGGGGATGTTGAAAAATGCTGTGAGACAGTGGGAAGCCCATGGAATGCTGGGGCAGAAAGAACTGCATAATGAGACATTGAGCATGCACCCATGATGCACTGTGATTCTCTCCGCCTTCCCACAACTCCTAGCTGCAGAAGGTGGTGAGAAGCACAGTGGGATAGCTACCCAGTGCATTGCTCTCTCTGTCGATACTAGAGCACCAGCTGTGGACGCGCTCTGCCAACAGAAGAAGTGTTGTGTGAACATGCACAGGCGATGTAATCATACCGATTTTTGATTGTTGGCTTAACTTGTGTCGACAAAACTCTGTAGTGTACACAAGACGTTAAAATAAGCTATTAAGGAATGTTAGAATTTTATTTACACTTTCCAACAAGATTACTCTTCATTTTTAATGGACGCTTTTTCCTCTTCCAAGAAACTTGCTAATGTTAAAGCTTACTACAGTGTTTGCACACAACTATACTAATAATTGCTTTGTTACAGGTGGTTAGCCAAGTTGCTGCCCTCTATTTTAATGGCTATAAACAAAGTGTGATACAACTCTTTGCTTAACTTTTTGGCAAAATATAGTTATATTTTTACTTTATTCATGCATTGTTTTTGTTAACTATGGTGCTACAAATACATTATATTTTTCAGTTATACGTATTTTTGAAAAAATTAAATGTCTGATGCAAAGATGTTGTGATCCAAAAGAATCAAATATATTCATTACTCTACCACAGCTCTGCTGTTTACAGCAGAGTGATTTAAAACACGGCAATCTAAATTATTTAAACAACTTGACTTTTTTTAAAACCACTGGTTTAAAATCAGGTTGAGGATTTATAAAATTAATTTAAAGATCTCTGCCATTGCAACTTCAGACTAAAATTTTTAATAAACTAAATTATAAATGCTATTATTTTGAAAAAAAAATTTCACTACTAGTAGGGTCTCTTATTTGAATTTTATAAAACTGCTATGGGCAAAAAACAAAATACTGAAAATTAAAGCTCAGATCCTGCAAACATGTAAGCAGCTACATAACTTTACTTATGAAAATTGACTTAAAATTAAACACGTGCATGAGTAGTCTTATTTAAGCACAAGCATTTGCAGCATCACAGGTTAACGGTTTATTGAAAACTACTTTGTGGCATAAAATGTTTTCACTTCAAAATAAAATTACTTCAGTGCAAACAATGAAAGGCTTGGACTTTCAGAATACTAACAAAATTACTATGAACTTATATATACACGTATACGTACACACACACGCACGCCAGAGTTTAAAAACAAGGCGCTTAACATGCTCCTATGCTCATATTTAGGCATTTGAGGCTGAGAGTTTCAAAGGCACCTAAATGACCTTCGGAGTACAAGTCCCATTGACTTCAACCCTGGTGGAGGACTAAAGTCCAGTTGAAGCATTTCAACTTTATTGACAAAGTTTGATGTGTTGGTTGCAAATATAGCAGGGGCTGTTTGTGTTGTTCACACAGTAAAGATGGCAGTGAGGCCCTAGACTTGTTTTTTTCAGCAGACAAGCATTTTAGATGTGAAATTTAGAAAAAACTCTATAAAATCTAAAGTCTGACTAAAAATTAGGAAACTAAAGAAACAAATATAAAATGTCTATTTTAGCAACTTAAAGACTATAAAATGGAAAGAAGCAAACCAATACTATGTAAATTACAATTACTTCAATTTTAAAAACGTAAATTAAAATCCATTATGTACACTTCAAAAACTGTTTTAATTTTTAAATCATTTTTATTCACCCTACTTTATACATTCATAAATTCAAAGGCCAGAAGGGAACCTGATCATCTTGTTTTACTTCCTGCAAAACAAAGGGCCAAAGAACTTCCCAGAAATAATTATTATCAGTGATGGAGAATCCTCCACAACCACTGGAAAGTTGTTCCAATGGTTAGCTACTCTCACTGTTAATTTATGCCTTATAATACTCTTCCACCTCCCTGAAGCTGGCAACAGTAAAGGATTGTAGGGAACATGCATATTTTTAGTGAAGCATGTTAATACTGAGATTTAAAGCAGGTCAAAAGTATTCAAATAAGAAAATATTTCTAAAAAGCAAAGACTTCATAGCACCAATGATGAACCTAGCAATGGTGAAATACGCAAATAGATTCTGAATTTTCACCTCAGTACCTTCATTCATGACAGAAACTTTGAAAAGTAAACAACCTTACAGTAATGTCTTTGCAAAGGAGATTAATTAAAACAGGTGCCTGATATATTGGAAATACTATGAGGGCATAAAGGATTCTATGTGGCTTTTTTAAACATATATTTCAAAGAAAATTAGGTGTTGTACATGGCAGCGATAACATTTCATTGATATATGGTACTCTAGTGGCTATCACAAAATAGATATGCCTCCCATTCTGAGCTAGGCTTCTTTCAGAACTCAGTGGCAGGAAAATAATGATGAGGCAAGAACATTAGGATACCCACTCATACTACTGCAGCTGTTTCTTTACCTTTACCCTCACCCCCTCCAATGTCTTCCTTGCTCAGTCTTTTCACATTTTTCTATCCTTGTTTCTTCACTAAATATTATGACCTTTCTTACTTCCCCAGCAGCACATTTTCCTTACTTCTTGTTTACTCCCCCCTGCCCAATTTCTTTCCCCTTCTTACAGCTCTGCTACACATGCCAGCAGCAAAGTGAAACTGTCAAGATTTCATATCCCTTCAACTAAGGTACCAGAGATCTTGTCAATTTTACTTTGTAATTCATAGATTGGAGCAGCAAAGAATGAAAAAAATGACTGGTATCCTTATCAGTCCATACCAGTGCACACTGAGTCAAATCTTTAGTCCTGGTGAATTTAGTGCCTTAAGCTGGTCTCAAAATCCAGTACTAAACATATTCAAACTAAATAAAAAAATAGATCAAGGATGCAGGGGTTTCAGTTTAGCATAGGACTGAGGGTACCCCATATTTTACGAGGCTCCTAGAGCACTTCCCCAGTGGTACTACCATGAACAGCAGAACTAGTGTGAAACCAATATGGAAATTTTATTCTATGCTCCTGCTAAACTATGGACGAAGTACTCTATTCAAACCCAGCAGAGAAGGTATTGAATTAAATCCCTATAGGGCATACAAAACTATTTAACCCAAGAGTAATGGAAGGAATTGATTTATAAAATTGCTTAAAATAAACAAACATCTATGGGAAAAATAATGTTTATATAAAAACCTATCGATCAATTAGATCACAAGATTTTTGGGCTAAATGGTAGAGTCTTGTCTCAATGTTGTAAATTACAAGACTAAATCCCAATGCATGAGTAACTCTTTATACGGTCAGGATAATGAAAATATCCATAGACACTCACCAAACTTAACTGAGGTTCTGATTTACAGCATTGCAGTAATTTTCCAAAAGCTCCACGCAAAATTAAAGTACTGGCTCCTCTACTCCTTTCAGTTTCAGCAACTGCAAAAAAGAAACCCAGCATTTCATGAAGCAGTTCCCAAAACAAAGACTAGACATACACTTAACATGAAAGACAAATATAACAGATTCTTATTCTTTCAGAACTTTCCTTCTGTACTTGATGGATTTAAATGCAAAAATCAGCCACATAGCTTGGTGGCAATTCTGTCTTAATGCTGGAAAGAAATTCAGATATATCTGAAGTTTTTATTTGCATTAATTAAAATATGTTGCCTTTAAATTTTATGCACTGTGAAATAACTAGCCACAAAATTTTAGCACGACTTCTTTATTCATTTTTAATCTGTACATTTGCCAAGGAGAAGTGATACAATTTCAAACACTTCTTTCTGCCCTTTAGCTTCTGCATAACACACACTACTGGGGTAACTGACATAGCCAGAATCTGAGCCTTCGGAGAGAAAGTGTACAGGAGCCATTGGTTCAGAAAATAACCAAGAACAAATAACCCATCACATACAGGGATCTTGTTCAACCAGAAGAACACAAGTCTCTGGCCACATTCTTTTCATGCATTTTAGGCCATGTCCACACAACGGTGCTGCAGTGGCATAGCTGCAGCAGTATACTGTAGATCAGGGGTCAGCAACCTGTGGCACACGTGCCAAAGGCAACAAGCGAACCGATTTTTACTGGCATGCTGCTGCAAGCCGGGGTCCCGGCCACCGGCCCCGCTCAGCCTGCTGCCGGCCTGGGTGAACGGAACCCCCACCCGTCAGCAGGCTGAGTGGGGCCGGCGGCCAGGACCCCGGCTGGCAGGAGCTGGCGAATGGAACCCCAGACCAGCAGCGGGCTGAGCCGCTCAGCCCGCCGCCAATCTGGTGTTCTGTCCGCTGGCCCCACTCAGCCCGCTGACAATCTGGAGTTCCGTCTGCCGGCCCCTTGCCAGCCAGGGTCTCAGCCGCTGGCCCCACTCAGCCTGCTGCCAGCCTGAGTGAATGGAACCCCCGGCCGGCAGAAGCTGAGCGGGGCCGGCGGACGGAACCCCAGACAGGCAGCGGGATGAGTCGCTCAGCCCGCCACCGGTCTGGGGTTCCAGCCGCCCTGCCCCCTGCCAGCCGGGGTCCGGGCCTCCGGCCCTGCTCAGCCCGCCTGCTGGCCTGGGGTACCGGCAGCCAGTCCAGAGCTCTGCTCCTGGCCTGGTCCCAGAGCGCTGCAGCCCTTATAAAAAATTACACTACAAGTAGCTTAAAAACTTGAAAACTTAAAAACTTTATATATTACAGTAATCGTTAAAACATGTATAATGTTAAAACATAGGTTTTATGAAACAAAGTAGCTGTACTTATGTGCCTGTGCTTAATTTGTGTTTTTGATGATTTACCTTCTAAAAAAATCTTGCGTATCTTGCACCCCCAGAAAGGGTATCTCGCACTCCCCAGGGGGTGTGTGCACCCCAGGTTAAGAACCACTGCACTAAACTGATAAGATCTGCATTTTAATTTAATTTTAAATGAAGCTTCTTAAAAATTTTAAAAACCTTGTTTACTTTACATACAATAGTTTAGTTATATAATAAAGACTTATAGAGAGAGACCTTCTAAAAACGTTAAAACCGGCACGCGAAACCTTAAATTAGAGTGAATAAATGAAGACATGGCACGCCACTTCTGAAAGGTTGCTGACTCCTACTGTAGATGCTTCCTACAGTTATGGAAGAAGTTTTTCCATCACTTTAAGTAATCCGCTCCCGAGTGGAGAATCTATGAATCTTCTGTCAATCTAGCTAGGTCTACACCAGGGCTTAGGTTGGCACTGATATGGCATTAAAATTTTTAAGTGTAGACAACCAGAGACAGGGCAAACCTTTGCTTTCAATGCTATCTATCTTGGTTTCCGGTCAGCAAATCTCTAACAGCAGTATGTCAAAGAACACTATGGAACTTTTAGTGCAGGGTCCACACAGACAGCACACACAGCAGGCTAGTATATTGTACATTCACAACCCAGCTTGCTGTGCATTAAGTCTTTGTGGAGACAAGCCCTCTGTTTCTCCCTCTCATGAGCATAGTTCATCTATGTTTCTCTCACCTCCTTTAATAATCCATTAAGGCAACTATCAATCCTGGGATGGATTATTTGGAACCAGTTTCTTCTTTTGTTCCTTAAATCCTGATTAGGAATTAGTAGACTATTTTCTCATGTCGTTAGTTCTCTACACCCTAGTACACAAATTTTGAACTAATTGTATTTCCTCCTGACTGAGAGAGGTACAGCAGCCCCAGTAATTATGACTAAGGCATTTAACTGCAGGGAAATACAACATTTCACCATGCCTGTGGGAAGATAGTGATTGTACTGTTGTATATCCTGTTCATTGTGCTTCCACAGCAGAAACATCAAAATGCAACTAAAGAAGATCTCAGTTTCACTTTGCTGCTCCTACTGGGAAAATGGTTTTGTGCACAAGCAACAGCACAGGTGCATTCTTAGAGTAGCAAGACACACACAATCATACACACAAAGCAATGAGGAAGAGGCAAGAACATTTGAAACAGCTTTCCTTTGCTTATACCTCTCCAAATCTCTTCTGAAATCATCCCTTGTCTATGCAGCTTAATTAATCTGCCTGCTGTCTTTTAAACTTTTAGCTTTTGTAATTACTTACCTCATAAAACAATTTAAGATAGCATCTTTCATAAAATCTATTATAAAATAAAGCTACTATGACATACCAGGACACAACTCAAACTAGTAGGGAGCTGTGTCATCACTGCCCTGCAACCTTGAGTGCCTTGCAATGCTTTGCTGTAACAGATCCAACCTGGACCGCTTACAAACAGCCTTGCAGCATGCAGGCCACACCCTGAGTGTCTGTGTGTAACTGCAATCTGCCAGCTACCCACTGGATCTCACTAGCCATGGTTATACTGCAGAGTGATCCCAACACATTCCTACTCCCGGATCTTCCCCCAGAAATGTATGTCCTGTACTGCCCACCCCTCTCCTGGAGAGTACCAGTATATTAAGTCCATTATTCCTTTAAGGGAATCTACATGGCCATCCAACATCTTGACAGATGAAAGGAAACACAATAAAAACAGCCATTCAATGGTGCTTGACAGTAGTGTGGGAGAAGAGCCCAAAGTTGGAGGAGCAGACCTTCCCCTACTTGGACATCTGAGCTTCTGTCAAACACCTGGGTCCTTCCCCACCAAAAGGAGTGACCATTGAGCACAGACCCTCAATCTGTAAGCCTAAGCAAAACAAAGAAGGAAGGGATTGCCATAGACCCTATATCTTCTCTCTTGGCAGGGACTATAGAACTTCAATGGCAAGACGAAGGTCAAGACAAGTTGAAAGCTCCAAGTTGAAAGAAGCACCCGCATTATCGCATCCACAACTGCGCCTTTTCTAAATGGATCTGGTCCCAGTAGTGTTGGTACCACTGACCAACAGGATTCTGGCTCATCCACTTTTCTGGGGACATTTCCTTCACCCAGGGTGTCCCATTACCCCACCCTTGGGCGTCATTAGGAATTCCCAAGAGGAGACAGGTTTATTGACCAGCATCAGTCACTTGCCGTTGCGTCACTGGCTGCACCATCTACACATCAAGTGGTGAATCCTGGAGGGACGAGCCAGACATTAAGGGAATCATATGCTAGTTTATTAACCTAAATAGTTGCCCAGACACTTCAATTTAAACATGCTGGATTAGATAAAAACAGTAACACAAGCTTACGAAAGAGATTTTAAGTGAGTATAAGTAATGAGGCATAAAAATCAGAAATGGTTACAAGAAAAATAAAGATAAAATGCTTACTAATATTTACTTAAAAAACTCTCTCATCACATGCTCCAGCAGATTACTGACTAAACTTTTCAGATCAGGACCCCTCCCCAAAAGTCCAACAGCTGTTTCCTTTTGCCTTCTCAGGTGCAGAGAATGTGATGGGCAGGGAGAGAAAGAAAGGGGAGTTTGTTCCTCATTTTTATAGTTCCAGTCTCCCTTGTGGTATTTCCAGCTGAGACCCAGGAGACAAAGAGTCTACGTAAAAGGATAGGTTTTTTCCCCACCTGTTTGAATTTCCTTTGTTTTCCCACCCTACCTGATGACTCTGTCTACTGCTTAAATGCAAATTAAGGCAAGCACCTTCCTTGTTTAGGACAGGCCTAGCTTCTGCCTGGGCACAGCTGTGGGGTTTGGAACATGTGTTATCATCATCATACTGGAGAATCTTACAACTTCACATACAATATTGCCATACATATTTTACTAGGATAATCCTGAGTAGCAAATTATAATTTTTAACTGATACCTTACAAGGCATACTTCATACCAAGATTATTACAATACTGTGGTCAGTATTCATTCAAATCTACAGTTCTTAAAGCAGTCATCAAATAAATAGAGCAAAATTGTTCTTTTACATCCATGCATCCACCCTAGAGTCAATGGGGTAATACAGAAACAAATGAACAGAATCTGGCCTATAGTAAGCTTTCAAGCAACTTAAAACTAAAATTCAGCACCCTAAATAATTTGTTAAACAAAAAATAATCAAACATGTGGGACTTTGGAAAATCTGTACAACAGTAAACACACACATTTAATGTAATATTGATAGATCTAATGCAAACTTTAATAAACCCTCTAAACTTGTAAAAACATTGCTTTAAGGAGGCATGAACACTAAATGAACTAATTTGAAGAACAGCTTACTGTACTGAAACAACATAAGATATGTGTAGCAACACCAAACCTATTTTCTGTGTAAGAATAAAAATCTCAAGTTTACTGTAGCAAGGAAATTTAATGACCAATAGATACAAAGCACAATTTTACTATGGTAATTTGTCATCTATTTTTCAGGAAGTAGTACAGAAATTTTGGGCGACTTTGTTTTGCTTCTTGTTAATCATTCAGTAACTAAAATTATCTTGACAATAATCCACAAGAGTCCCAATACAAAACTTTGCTGTACAATAGAACATCAGAGTTACGAACACCAGAGTTATGAACTGACCAGTGTATC